TCTCCTCATATAAGTGCCATATTTATGAATTCTCATTCATCCTTCAAAGTCCAATTCAAATTGTTCCAATTTCTAAAATGTGTTACAATCTTTTGGAAGAATAGTGTGACACACTCAAGAGGTTTTCAAATAGACCTGGTAGAAAGCCTTTGGAAACAAAAGCTGGAAGCTTGACTTGAAAAGTGTAATTATGAGACTACATTGAATTAGAGAAATGGATACAGAATGGAGAGGCAAAAACATATCACATTAAAATAACTAATTTATTAATTAATATGGGGGCTCTCAGTAATTGAGACATTAAAGTTGGGATTCTTGCAAAATATTACTACAACACCGAACAACGTTTATTAGAAAACATTACACTGTGTTTTTAATTGAGCACTGAACATGAAGTGGAGACACAACGCACTGCCAAAATTGTAAATTGCACTAAACTAAACAATAATGTCCTTTTAATCAAACATTAAAATGTATTGATATTACCATGACTGCCCAACAATATGCATAATTCTTAACATGACATAGGCTGAACACGACATGACAATTTTGTAAATGCATAAACAACAGAAGTATGATTTAGCCTATCTGTCTAAAACATGGAACAAATGTTGGGCCAAATATTGCATTAGGCTGCTGAACATGAAAAATGCACAGCCAGATGTTGGCATCTGGCCAAAGATGTAACCATTCAAGACTCAGGGGACTAAATGTAATAAACTTAGGAACTACATGTCAGTCCAGCTAATCTGAATATTGAGGGGACATATGGTGGTTCCACTCCTACATCTGCCTAATTTAGTTTGTGTCTACCAAATGACAGATGAATTTGTACCAAATTACCCTTTGACGTCAACAACTAAAGTAAATAATGTTCTCCTCCCTTTTAAAAGCTGACAAACCTATTTATTTGGCTATCCTAAATATGCATGATTATATCCACAGTTATATAGTCTGAAAAAACTAAAAGTGTACTCTTTTTGTGAGGTGATGTGTACATGCAGGAATGTGTGTGCCAATCTGTGTGTCTTTGTTTGATAATGTTGTGTCTCTGCGTGAATGGATATGATGATTGTTTATGATGTAGTGTGTCAGATTAAAGATCAGCAGAGTCAGGATGCAACATGTGGAATACTTGTTATCCTTTCTGACAGCTCTGCACGCCATGCTCCTCATATTATCAGGTACAAAGTGTGAAGTGGAAGTGCTTGTTGTTACACTTTTTACCCCAGTGAATAACTAAGAATAGGTTTTATTTATCAGTTTCTCTATAGACACAAAGTCTTGGCTACAAAAAAAAGTCCACTCTGAAAATGTCCACCATCATTGTACAGAAAAAAAGTTTACTGAACATACATAGACCTTCTTGCAACAGAATAGCGGGCATGTTGACAAAATGTATAAGGTAAGCTGTCACAATGAAACTACAATAGACTTTTAATGGTAAAACAAATGTAGCAAAATTAGTAATGATTTAGTAGCATAACACAATATTTATTTAGGCCAACAAATTAATAAAAATATTTAAAATTTAAAACATATTTGACAACTTGCCCCAACTTGTAAACTATATTATCACCCAGCTCTAATCTGGTAAATGCAACTATAAAGCATGAAGATATTATATATTATTATATATGTTACAAAGCTAGCCTTTGTGACAATTAGCCCAGTATAGGCTAAACAACAACCATGTTAAGTCTTTGGCTGACTGTTTAGCTCCCTCTAGTGATTTTTTATATTTTTTAACATTGATTGATATATGGGTGTGTGTGTGTGTGTGTGTGTGTGTGTGTGTGTGTGT